AGTGATGGCCTCCACCCTAGTAGCTTCTTGTTACTAGTAGCGATGGCGCGATGGCCTCCAACCTACTTGCGATGCCTCCACCTAATAGCGTCCTAGCTACCTTCAAGAATCATTTGACGATATATATATATATTAATCATGTACTTCTTCTTGCTGTTGTCATGTCGATATTGTTTGATACTCTTGACTCTTGAGAAAAGCATGCCGCATGCACTGCCGAGGCTCACGTTGTTGAAGAAGGTTTCTTGGAGTGCCTTGGTGATCAGATCCCAAGCTTGACAGCCTCTTTCGCACAAGGGACACACTTGCTACTAGTAGTAATGCCCTTGCTACTAGTAGTGATGCCCTTATTTTACTAGTAGCTTCTTGCTACTAATGTTTTCGAAGACAGGTACATCAACAACATCCTGACAGTTGGCATGGTGCCGGCCTTATTCCCAGATGATGAGAAGGAGCCTTTGGTGGGTGCTATTCGCGCAAGGCCAGCTATTTTTTGAACCTTTGCCATTCCTAATTAACTTATCTTCACTTTTGCTCCAGGGCACGGGGAGAAGGTGTCTCTGAGACTGGAATGTGGGCTTACGCCTGTGGAGTTGCAACCTTGGACATTGAGAAATTTTAGAAAAAGCGATGAGCACTTCTTCATAGCTTGGTTTTGAGGTCATTCGCGACAACTTGCATCTTGTCCTCGCCATGTCACCCGCTGGTTCTCAGCTCCGCTGGCATCTCAGAAGATGCAAAAGGAAGACCTTGTGCTTTGCCCGACTTGGATCTAAGGAACGAGATGCCGCAACTTCCCTGGCATGGTAGCAGGATGTACCATTGAAACTCTACGGCACAGTTTGGTGCCGTACTGAACGAGCGTTTGTAGGAGAGAAACCCTACGTGAATATGTAGCTCGCATTCTTGATCTCGCCACAAGCTTTAGTATTGTTCGGAACACACATGTGTATTGTGACCTTCAAAGGAAGCAGCTCAGCAGCTTCAAATTCAACAGTTTAGCTGATAAGCCTGGCTTTCTCGCTTACAGGTTTCCAGGGTTCTTGCTCAAAGTCGGGTTTGTCGCAGGAGGGCTCGGATTTAGGACGGACTCCACAGGCTGTTACAGGCAATGAAGTCGTCGGTCTGGTAGTTGACTGAGTCACTTTAGTCTCTCAATTTGTGCCCTGTGATTGTCAATTGCTTTTTAAGATAGGGACCCATTGGCCGTGTGCGGCTAGAAAGTGATTTGTCGTGGTCTGGCTATCCACTGAGTTCACAATTCATTTGTTTTCCAATGCCAATTGCGGTATGTTTCCAATATAGATTTTATCGACATCCATCACAGCTCCTGTGTCTCGTCATTTTCTTCAGCTGTTTCGGGGGTGCGCTCGCATAACCTTTCAATTGCAAGAAACCCGGGTAGGGATCAGACACTTCTCTGCAAGGACTGGTTCTTCTCCTGGCCTCAGCAAGCCTTGCTGGCAGTCGCAGAGCATTTCTTGGCAAATGTCACGGGAATTGATGATGTCAGGCGGATAATCATTGCAATCGTGAGATGAAGATAGATGAAGCATAATCTTTGGAAGACTTCCCCCGCTTGAGCTCAACATAACTATGTTGAGATCTTGGAGCCTCGATAGTCTATGCAGGAGCCACATCACTGAGACCATGAGCTACGCCCACCTGTCGGTGACGCTTCAATACTCCCCGCAGTTTGAAGTCAAATACAAGCGCCGCAATTTCGCGACCCCCAAGAACTACTTGGACTTCCTGTCCAACTACATGAAGTTCCTGGAAAACAACCGCAACAGTTTGGACCAGATGTCAGGCACGGATAGGGAAGGCTGCAGGATGTTCCGAGTTAGCTCAGGGTTTCATGTGGACTTTCAAGACACGTGCTGCTGGAGGCCGCTTGGGTGGTGGTTTGGACAAGCTCGTGCAAGCAGCAGTTCAGGTGAGGAGCGAACAAGACATCCAAGTTTTCGTCAATCGGTAGTTTTGTGTTCAGTTTTGTTTTTACCCCAATGCCACGAGGTCACCGAGATGTCCAAGGAGCGAATACAAAGGGGAAAATTCAGTCACCGCATGCTCGGAATCTCAGTCAGGAGTTGGAAGAAAAGAAAGCTATTGTGGATGAGAACGCCATCAAGGTACAACCTCCACTACTTTCCTGCCATTTGGGCCGCCAATTGATTGGCAATACAATTGCTGTCTCAGGTTCGCGAATTGATCGATATCATCAACGAAAAGACTGAAGCTGTGACAAAGAGAAAGGAGGAGGTGCCTGTGCTGACTGAAGTTCAAGGTTTGCTTTGTTTGCTTGAGGACTGCCTTGTCTTGCCCACTGGAACCTTTTTGCTTGTCCTTCGCAACACTATATAGTAAAGGGAGTTAAAAAGACTGAACATACTAAATCTGTATGTATAATTGCCCGATACTAGCCGCCGTTCCTTGTCAACAAAGGCCAGTGCGGCTGCCGAGCAGATCGAGAAAGACTCTGCCATCATCGAGAAAGAAAAGGTTGGCTGGGGGATGATTTATGTTGATTTGAGCTCCGAAGCATCCAGTATTTTTGGCCCTGATGTCAAAACTTGGACCTCGCTAAGTGCAGGCAGACGCAGATGAAGCTCTGCAAGCAGCATTGCCAGCTCTCGAGTCAGCGGCCAAAGCACTGGAGGCAGGAGTTGATTGCGACAATCCACTCGAATGCTGAACCGGAGAAAGAGAAAGAAGGGCATGTAGTTGGTCAGGTTGGATAGGGTGGAGGCCATCGCTATTAGGTTGGAGGTATGCTGAACTCGAATGTGCTTGGAAAGAGATCTCCAGGAGTTGGACAAAAAGGACATCACGGAGGTCAAGGGCATGGCAAGTCCTCCACCACCCGTCACTATCGCTACTTCACTGAATTAAGGAACTTAGTCGACGTGTAGATGGCATGTGCATATACATATGTTACATAGCATAGGTATGTACACATGTTTGAGTATACATATACTGTATGACCCTATGTCCTCATGATTAATCACAGAGCAGGTCATGTTTCACCGTAGCATTGGGGCTTAAAGGAGTTGTGGATGGGAGGAGAATAAAACCTTCCCTCCCAGTCTGTGACAGGTGCCACCACTTCATAGTCCGTGAAGTGGGGGTAACCACCTGTACGCCTTGCAGAAAGGCGTATCAGCTCCAGGTGTCAGTTCGGAACGTCATCCCGGCTGACAAGGACGAAAGCGCGGTCGTGTTCTTCGAAGGGTGTTTCGGGCTTCTCCAGGACTGGCTCTCAGAAATCCAGGGGTTGAACGACCGAGAACGAAGAGCACGCCAAGAAGAAAAAGCCAGAAGCAAGCCCGAGAGAAAGGAAGAGGAGCCCAAGAAAGCCGACAGCCCGAAGACCACCAGCCGCCCGAAATCGTCCACCAGACCCGAATCTCCCGCCAGGCCAACCGGAGGCCGAGGAGACCAGCACCCCCAGGCCACAGGTCGCCCATCCAGTTCGAGCAAAGTCCCAAGCAGACCGTCCTTGCCACCACCTCCTCCCGGTCCAGAAGCACCTCAAGGGAGCACCAGCCGAGGGTACAGCTCCCAGACAGTGCGAGTGCCAAAGCCCAGTCACCGGGACCCAGGGGCCCCTGGTGATCGACCCGGAAAAGAAGAAGCCACACCATCCAGAGACAAGAAGGCTTTGCCATCCAAGGAGGTCGAGGTTGCAGTGGAGCCGGAAGACCCCAGCAGTGCAAGGAAAGAGAAAAGCCGAAGAAGGAGGAAAAGGGAGAGATCCAGTTCCTCTCCCAGCTCACGTCGTCGTGACAAGAAGAAGAAGAGGCGTGAGCAACGTGAGAAGAAGGAGCGAGGCCGCCGGAGGAGGAGATCGCGGTCGGCCAGCACCTCAGTGTCGGGGTCAAGAGTGCGGGAAGCAAAGAAGCAAGAGGCAGTGAGGCTCAAGTCACCGGCCAGGCCTCCAAGCCCGCACACGCCACCAGGTCCCCCTCCAGCTCCGCCTCCTGTGCGCCAGCCCCCTGTGAGGCCACCGCCGAAGGAACCGCCCAGGCGTCCTCCGGCACAGCGAGGTCCCGGCTGGATAGGCCGAGTTCCCTACAGCAACCGCCCCAGGTGGTGGGTAGGGAAAAACAAAGGGGTGACGAGAAGAGCTAAGCAAGAGCTCTTCAATAGAAGGAGATAATGCCCCCCAGAGCCAGACCAGCAATCAGGACTCCAGCCCCTCGGAGAAGGCCTGCCAGTCGTGTGGAGTTCGAAGGCAAGGTGACAAAGCTGCATGACTTCAAGGAGCTGGCGGCCGTGCAGTTGAGGACCCTTGGACTGATAGAGCTTGCACAGGCATCGTATTACGAGGGGCATGTCAAGCTAGCTGGCGTGGTGGAAGGGCTCGGAAAGGATGAAGAGTACCTGACCTTCCGTGCGACGGGTACACAGTCAGACCACATGAATGAACTCCTGTCGGACCCTCAGAAACGCACTTTCCAGCTGCACGTCTGTGGAGCCAGTTGCGGACGAAGGGAGACCGGCCCGGACATCATTCACGCTGCGGGGTATTGGATGATCGATGAGGAGGAGAAGAAACCCTGGCAGACGATGTTTGAGGGCGATGCCAAGAAGGGTGAGGCTGATGATGAGTTGAGTTCACTACGGAAGTTGCACGAAGAGCGCAAAAGGGGTGATCAAGGGGAGGCAGCGCCTCCCAGCGAGGAATCGGAAAAGAAGAGGAGTGACAAGGAGAAGAGGAGGAAGAAGAAACAAAAGGAGAAGTTGAAGAAGCAAGAAAAAGGAGAAGAGGGAGGAGATGCCTTGCTTGAGCGAGGACAGAAGTCACTGGCAGCGCTGTATGACGGGACCTGCTTAGACCCGAATGCCGAGGCCCGCAGCAAGCTGTTGAAGAAAGCAAAACGCTTTGGAGGAAAGAGCGCAAAGAACAGGAAGAGGTCCTCCAGTGATGACGCAAGCAGCTCAAGCTCCACGACCGAGTCCGAGGAGGAGGAATTCGGCGAAGGCTTGTTTGAGGAGCGGAAACGGGCCCTTCGCCTGACAAGGCGGTACCCGGGAAGCCTGGCAGCCCAGACAGTGGCAAACATGAAGGAATCCTTGCTCACCCAGAGCGGTAGCCTGTATTCACAGGATCGGAAGACTCTTCCTCCGATCTTTTCACAGTACTATCGCTCAGAGATGCAAGCGCTCTGTTCCCCTTCGATGAGCCAAGAACTCCTCACTTTGTCGCAGGGGGCCGACTTGCTACTTCGTGGACATCCAGCACGCGCGCTAGATCTTCTGGCCCAGCGCGTCAAGGCCCTCGATCAACAGATCCGAGGAGGGCATTGGACAGTCGCAAGACAGCTGGAGTTGGTCAGCGGCCCTGAGCTGGCAAGGGAGGAACTAAGGGATCGCCTAGCCTCCCAGCGGCCGTATGGGTCAGCCAGTGGGTCAGGAGGCCGGGAGAAAGGAGAAGGCTTTGGAAAAGGAAAAGATCGTCAAACCTCCGGAGGAGACAAGGGAAAAGGAGAGAAAGGCAAAAGGGAGAAAGGGAAAGGAAAAAGGAAGAATGAGTAGCAAAAGGCACCGACGGAGGATTGAAAGACGATCGAAAAGACAAAGCCAGAGGATCGGGCGCGAAGAGCTTCGCGGGGGAGGATGCACTGGTTGACACTTTGACTGGTGAGGCTAGCAAAGGAGGGTGGCTTGAAATTGGTGAGGCTGAGGCACCAAGGGACTGGACTGAGGCAGGAGAGCAAGGGCAGCAGAGGACGCTAGAGCTGGATAGAGGGAGTGCAGCGGTTGACTCGGGTGAAGAGATGAGGGCGAGAGAGAGGCTGTTGGAGAGTTGTGAAGAGAAGGGCTTGAAGCAGAACGAGAAAAAGGGCAAAGACATGGGCAGGGGCCGGAGGCCTGAGGAGATGCTTGGAAGGGAGCCCCAAGGCTCCCAGAGTGACGTTGGATACAATGGAGCAATGGGCAAGCCTCGTGGGCAAGATGTTGCTATATGAGGGTTGAGGACAGCATCGCATTGGGCAAGCCCGATAGCGATGATTTTTTGAGAGGGGAGCAGGACTCCCAGCGCTCTGGAAAGCAGTGGAGAGAAGGCCGGAGTGCTGTGGCAGACCCTGCTCTGGATGCCTATACCTCCCCGCCGTCAGGTGGGTTGAGATGGATGGCGCTGGAAGCGAGCAGTCGGCAGGCATTTGAAGAATGCCGGCATAACCTCGCCACGGCCTGTCGAAAAAAGGGGTTGAAGTTTGAGGAGATGGGGGAGGCTCTTCTAGAGGCGTTGAAGGTGCAAGAGAAAGCCTATGCGCGTTGCAGCAAGACCAAGGGGGACCTGTTCCCCTTGCCCCTTCCATCGACTCTTCAGAGCGTCAGCCCCCCGGGTTTTTGTGCAGATGCATTGGTGCAAGCTTTGAATTCATTGTATGGGACAAAGACCATTGTTAGGTTCAGAGAGGACAGGACGCGTTTGAACATGGTTGAAAGATTGAAGAAGGTGGTAGAGGAGTCAGAGCTAAGAGGGTGCGAGATTCCTGAGCTTGATTTTGGGGAGTTCTTCAAAGCACGATCGGTGGATTATTCCGCTGAAATCGTACAGGTTGCTCGTCGGTTCGATTGGCGTATGGTGGAAGCAGCTTTCCCAGAAGCCGTAGGCACTCTAGACCTGGAGGAGTTTTGCGAAGGTGGTACTTTGGCGTACGTACAGAACTTTGAGGATTTTCTTCTGCCGCCTCAGGACCAGCATCTGGGAAAGACCCCCAGCGTCATGGTGGAGGCCAGCCACTGGGCTGAGGTGTGTTCGGGACTCGTTCGACGGGGGGTGTGCCGCCTCATGCATGTCAGCGAGTTGCATCATGTAGGAGGACGTCCCCTATTGAATGGACTTTTTGCAGTTAGCAAGCAGGAGCAAGCCACGGATGCCTTGGGAAACGTGTTTGAGGTCTGTAGGCTGATCATGAACCTAGTGCCAACAAATGCATGCTGTCGGAGTCTGGTGGGAGACACTTGTACTTTTCCGAGCGTAGTGGGCATGTCCTCCATCATTTTGGAGGATAGCCAACTGTTGGTGACCTCCTCAGAAGATATACGTTGCTTTTTCTATTTGTTCCGGACGCCATCCAGCTGGTGGAAGTACATGGGATTTGGACGGGAGGTCCCTAGCGAGGCTCTCCCAGCGGGCTGTTCGGGGTCAGGTTGGCACTTGGTTACACAGGTGTTGCCTATGGGGTTCATTAACTCGGTGGCCATCGCCCAACATGTCCATCGTAGGGTGATCAGCCAAGCGTTGAGAGGTGAGGCAAGGTTGGCATCAGGCCATCAGGAGATCAGGCGTGACCGTCCAGCTAGCAGTGCCCCCCATCTCTTTCGGGTGTATCTAGACAACTATGATGAGTTGAAAAAGGTTGACAAGAGCCTCGCTGACATGTTGGAGGGCACTCCATCGGCCTGGACCCTGGCAGTGAGGCAGACTTATGAGACCTTAGGACTCCCAAGACACCCGAAGAAGGCAGTTACACAGGCGCTGAAGGCAGAAGTGCAAGGGGCATGGGTTGATGGAGAGATAGGAAAGGCAGGGCCCAAGCCCGAGAAGGTGATGAGGTATGTGAAGTTGGCATGCGAGGCGGTGATCCTGGGGAAGGCGTCGCAAAGAGAACTGCAAGTCATTGGTGGAGGCTTTGTGTACATTGCGATGTTCAGGCGCCCCCTCTTGTCCGGGTTGAATGC